AGATCCACTACATCCCCTCGGTGCTGCTGGGGCCCCAGGCCCGCGAGAGCTTCCGCAACTCGCGCCTGCAGGCCCACAACTCCGTCATCGGCGTGCCCATCCGCGAGACGCCCATCCTGGATGACTACGAGGATGAGGAGGAGGAGGAGACGCCGCGGCGGGCAGAGCCCAGCGCCAGGGAGGATGAGTTTGGCAGCCAGGTGACGAGGACGCTGGAGAGCCTGGGCAGGGCAGGGGAGGAGAAGCCTGATTACGAGAAGAAAGGTTTGTGGTTTTTCTCTGCTCTGCTCTGCTGGGGAGCTCTTGGGTTTTTGGTTGTTAATTGCTGCCCTGAGATGTGCAGGATGTCTCTGTTTTGGCCTGTGCATCTGAAGAACAAATCAGAGCTCTTCACTTTTTGGTCTTGAGGTTGTGTATTAATTCTTATCTATAAAATTTTCTTTCTGCCCAGCCAAGATCTGCTCAGCAGGGCAGCCACAGGCACTCTTTGTTGTCCTTTTATACTACAAACTACATATAACATATTTACACTTAATTCCCAATACCTATCCCCTGTGTTAGACAGGGCACTTCTACTCTAAACCAATCCCAAAGTGCCAACAGCACTGCAGAAAATGGAGAACAAGAAGAAGAAAGACTGGACACGCCCAAGTTCCTCCATCTTGTCCCCAAAACCCCCATTCCAAAAATCCTAAAATCTACGTTTTCACTCTGTGATAATTTTGTTACTACACCATTCAAACTTCTGTGACTATCAGGTCCTCATACAAAGCTGGTAATTTGCTCCCTGGGTCAAAATCAAATCTGCAGGTGCTCTGGGCTGTGTGCCAGGGTCTCTGAGCCCCCCGGCGGGGTCCTCAGCAACTCTGGGTACCCAGAGGGATGTGCTGAGTTCTGACAGGGAGTGGCGCATTCCCCAGGGGATTTCGGCTGAGGCGTGCTTGATTGCTTGCATTTGGAAAATCTGTCTGTCAGAAGCTTCTACACCCACCTCTGCTTATTGAAATGTTATTATGAGCCATTTAATATTGTTCACCTGCAATGCACAGTAAAAATGCATTTGAATAAACAAAGCAAAGCATATTAGTTGCTGTGAGTGACTCCAGCAGGAGCGAGGAAGGGATGTGCTGGCTTGTTCTGTGCAGGGAAGGGATCTTGGAGTGGTGCTGAACCATCCTTCCCTTCTTGTGTGGGCTTTGCAGTCAGACCTAGCAGCCACAGTGGCAGGGATGGGGACAGGGACTGTTTTTGGCTCCATGGAGGAGCCAGGGATTGCCTAGGTGATGCACTGTGTCTGGAAAGCAGCTCCTGCCCTTGTGATGGTCATAAGTGGTAGCTGAGGTTGATTATCTTCCACCCTTAAAATGCTTTCTACTCTTTCCTCTTTTAAACAAGGCTGTGCTGATTGTGATGGGTATTGCTGCTCAAACAGATTTGGAGGTGCCCAGGGATCAATCTGTCATCCTCGAGTGCTGCTCTGAGCATCCCTGTTGGCATCTCTTGGTGTGTGTCTGGCTGTTACCAGCCCATGGGGTTAAGAGATGTTTCCTCAACCCTCTGCTCAGTGAGAATGAACAAATGAAAGCCTTCATATCTCATAACCCAGCTACCTTCTTTCTTCTTTCATATTCTCTTCTTTGTTTTGCTTTTCTATAAATTATTTAGAGTTGTGTGAATGGGGAAGACAGCAGTAACTGCATTTCAGTGCTCTTCAAAACAAAACAGCAAACAAGATCTAGAGCAGAATATTAAACTATCCAAGGGCTTCAGGAACTGGCAATAATGAATTTACACAGACTGAACCCCCTGCCCCAAGCTGGAAGCTGCCTGTGGCATACCTGAGCTGGGAGAGATGTTCCCAAATGCTCTCACCAGCTCTGCTTGTGATGCTGTCAGGCTTTGTGCCTTGGATCGAGGCAGGTTTGTGCCTTGCCTAGTCTGATCCTTCCAGACTGTGCCAGTTCAGCATATGCTTCCTTCCAGATGGGCACTTTTCCCTCTTGGATGAGGCTCTGCTCAAGGAGCCAAGCTATGGTTTGTGCTGCTCACTCCTCCCTGCTGAAGCTGCTGAGAGCCTGGATTGCCCAGGATGAGGTGGCTGTGGTTCAGATCTGGGGTTTCTAGCCTGCAGACATGAATAGATGTGCTGTGAGCTTTCCACTCTGACCTGGTGGCACAGGCGGGGGAAACGTGGTGGCTCAGACATGCTGCTCCCTGCCCACAAGCAGCAGTCACAGCTGGATTCCTGTGGGGTGGAGAGGCTGCAGCTGGTGTGAGCAGACACCAGGTACCTGGGGATCTGGAAGCCAGTTCAGCTTGGGCTTGGCTTTGCAGCTGCATTGAAGGTGGAGGCATTAAGGGACACCCAGCTGGAGCGTGGCTGTAGAGCCACAGTGAGATCAGCCTTTCCCTGGTGCCCAGCTGGCACTTCCAGGCTTCACTGTGCCCACTGGGGATGGCTGGGGAGCTGTGCCTGCATCCCAGGGAATCCACCAACCAGCTCCCATGGGAAAGGCTCTCCTTGCTGAGCTGCCTTGTGATAAGGCATCAGCTGGGACTTGTCAGCGGGCTCCAAACGCTCTCGTCACAGGGGCTGTCAGCAGAGCCTCTTTCAAGTGTCACTTCCCAGCATTAATTACCAGGGATGGCAAATCCAATGGAGATGGAGCAGTTCTGCTCACCCTGCAGCTGCCTGTGCTGCAGCTTCCCCCTGTGCTGGGCACTGACTGATGGCAGGTGCTCTTCCCAGCACTGGGGGTTTGCACACCCCACTCTTGGTGTCTGTTGGGTCAATTTTCCTTTCTGTGTGCTTTTTTTATTTTATGGTTTTTTTTTTTTTTTTTAATTTTTATTCACCACTTCTGGATGTATCCAGTCAGGGAATGAGGCAGAGCTGTCTCTGCTCTGTGCAGTCCCTGCCCAGGAGGCCTGAGCAGCACAAATGTTTTGCAGATCACGGCTCAGCAAGCCAAACTTTCCTCCCCAGCTCAGGCAGTGATGTGGATGGGAGGGATGCTCCCATGTGGTGGCAGAGCATGTGAAGTGAATCCCAGCACAAACAAAACACAGGAGTGATGTGCTGAATAATGACATCTAGCAACAAGCGTGTCTGAGTGATAAAGTTAATGAAATTACAGGTTCTGACCTGATACCAGGCTCTGCTGTGGGGAGATAAACAGCAGGGCAAAGATGAGATGTTTATTTCTCCCTAGCTGCAGTTGTAATCTGGATGCACTGTGCAGGGCCATTAATGTTATTACTGTTATGCAAAATCATTTTTGACTTGGGGGGAAGGGAAAAAAAAAAAAAAAAGAGAGCAAAGAAAGAAAAATCTCCCAACTGCTTAGAAAATGTAAAGCTGACAAAATTAGAATTGCAGCAGGAGCACAAGCTGACCTGGTGACATTGTACAGAGCCCAGATGAATTTAGACAGAAGAAAAATCCAAGGCAGTTTAGGAAGAAAAGTAGAAAAGTAGTTCTTTTTTTTTTTATTAATAATAAAATGAAATGGAGCGAGGCAGGAAGCAATAGCCAGGCTGTCCTAATTATCCAGAAGGATCCCCTGAGCTGGGATGGAGCAGGGACTGCTCTGTCTCTTTGTGGGTTTGGGTTCTCTCTGGCAATTAAAAGGTCTCTAGGATTGTGTATCAGTGGGTGTGCATGATGCCAAGTGGGGCCTGTGGTGTGGGGTGCAGTTTCTGGGGTCTTGGTCTTTGCTGGGGAGACCCTCTCTCTCTGAAGTCGCACCAGTATGTACATGGGGTTCAGTGATTATGGAGTTCAGGAATTTGGGTAGATTTGTGTGATTATAGATTCAGGAATTTGGGTAGATTTGTGCAGGTGTTGTCACCTTCTCAGCTCCTCTGTCCTCACTTCCCTGTGGAGTTTCTAGTCCGTGCTCCTCGTGAGTTCTGCTCTTCCCGAGCAGATGGCCTCAAGCTCCATCCCTTTGGGAATTCCTCACCTGCTTTTCTCTTTCAATATACACAGCTGTCATCCTCACAGACACAGCTTCATCCTACAGCAGCAGGAGCCCTTTGCCTTTGTTCATCAGGTCCTGTTGGAGGGACTTTGGGCCCCATTCATTGCAGGTGACACTGCTCCATCCCTGTCTGGATGCATTGGATGCAATGGAGTTGGCATCCCAAACTCACTATGGGATTACCCACAAGTTCCTCAGAGAAGATTTTGCCAAACCAAATCTCCTAAGGATCAGCAAGGAGCAGAACTTCTGCCTGGTGAAAACTGGGGAGAAACCAGACTTGAAAATCGACTGTCTGCAATTCCACTCCTGCAACAAAGGACCCATCTTTATTTCTCAGTTTCTTTCATGTTTGAAAAAAGAACATTTCAAGCAGGCCTTTGTGCTGGCTTCACAGGCTCTGCAGTCTGGGTATGGCCTCCAAGTCTAGACAGGAGACAGGACTTATTACTGATGGTTCCAATGATTAATACCATGGGCATATCAAAGGTGTGGCTGGGCACTCATCTTGAATTCCTCTCCTGGACTTACTTCTCCCCTGCTGGGTTGGCTCAGGTAAACCTCTGAAGTTTCTCTTACTCAATCCATGGATGCTTTCCTCAGCAGTGGTATTGAGATTCTTTTTGAGCATTCCTGAAAGATGGTCTGGCTCCTAGAGTGCACCTGGAGATGTGGATCCAGCTCCACTCTGCCACTGGCTGCTCTGACAGCCCTGGCCATGTCATTTAATGGTCCAGGGGTTGGAGAGGGAGCCAAGGCAGAGAGCAGGTAGGGCAGCATAAGGAAATACTGGATTTATATAAAATAATGGAACTGCTGGAAATACTGGAACTGCTGATATCAGGGCTTGTGGTCCCCCCAGCCTCCCACCCAAGCTGCTCTGGGTGGTGCAGACCAGGAGAAGTGTGGGAGAAGGGATTTAGGCAGGGAAGACAAATGGCTTTGAGGTAACAGCAAAAAGCAAAGGAAGGATCCTGATGAGGGCAAGAGAGAACTTCCTATGCCCCCATCAGCACTGGAGGAGCTGTTCTGGTGGCTGCATCTCAGAATTGTTTTTCCTTCCAGTGGAGACTCCTCTGGGGAGAAGTGAGGCAGTGCTGTGGGCTGTTGGATGTTGGGGCTGTGGAAAGGGACATTTTGGGGGCTGAGCTGTGCAAGAGGAGGGCAGGTAGTCAAGCTGTTCCCTGGAGTTGCCATTCATTGATAATTGTCTTGTAGATGAGATTTAGGGATGGGTGTGAGTTGGGGCGATGCCCTCACAATGGACAGGTGATGGTGCTG